ATGATTATTACATGTCACTTGTTGACTACATAGTCCCACAACTCAAAAATGCTAAGACCACCAAAAGAATCATCTTAAATGTTATTGGAAATATATTAAATGAATCTGCTCATTGATGGGTGGTATCCCAGAGGTGGAAGAATCATCTAGCATGGGTCGATCCCAATATTACGGGTGGTATCCCAGGGGTTAAAGGAAAGCCTAGCATGGGTTGATCCCGATTTATATGTCTACCACTGATAAGTTGGTCATTTGTATTATATGCTGTGCGCAGAGTGTAAAGTAAAGAATGTAAATTACCTGATTCCATCATATGAGAAAAGGTGGTCTTGTGTTCTTACATTGGTATATGATTTCATTTGAATTCTTATTTCACATGCAGTACTTTATGCCTTACATACTCAGTACATTCTCCCGTACTGACGTCTCTCTCGGGGTCCTGCAATTCATGTTGCAGGTACAGGAGCTAGTAGATCTCCCCAGTAAGAGAACAGGACATCCAACGGCTATTGGTGAGCTCCAGGTTGATTCGGGGCTTTCCGAGTCTATAGCATGTGTTTTGGTATAGTATAGTAGCTGAGTGTAAGGCGGGGCCTGTCCCGACCTTAACGGCCAAGTCATGTGCACTTTCTTTTGGCTTGTTAATACTGTCTACTTTCATGAAAACATGTTATCCACTATGGTTGCACCTTTAAATGTTCATAGATAGAGCATGATTCCAGGTTGGTCCTCCCGAGCCTTCTCGGCAATGGGTGCCGGTCAGCCTTAATGGGATTTTGGGCGTGACACTTATACAACTAATTGAACATGAAAAAACTATTTGAACTCGAGATAGTAAAAGGTGATATTTGATATTAAAGTCATAAGTGGCCAAGTGTGTAATGCGTTAAGATCTTGTAAAGAAACTAAGATATGGAAAATGGTGTAAAATAGGTGAGGTGCTTGCTTGACTAAATTAAGCTACTTAAGGTATATGGACCAAGTAGGTGCATGACCTACTTTGACTTATGGGCCATATGGAGGCCTAAATTAAGTGATCAATTTGAGGCCCAATCTGTCCAAGAAAAGGGGAAAAATGAAAAAAAAAATGGCAGTCCAAGGTCCAATCTTTCCAAGCCCACAAGAAATAATTTTAATGGAAAAGTAGGTGCATCACCTACTTAAATGTGTGGCCTAAATTAAAGACATTTGGTGGCTGCAAATGAAGTACAAGAAAGGTGGCAAAAGAGGGCCTATTAAGGCCAAAAAATCTGATACAAATATCTCATTTTCCTCTTATCCAAATTTAAGCTCTCAAGTTCATATATTTTCTCTCTCTCACGATGAAACAACCACCCAATATTCCCACTAGGGTTCTAAGTATTTTTCATCTTGTTTCTCCAAAGCAGCCACAAGATCACCTTCTCTTCTCTATTGCTTCAAGTATATTGGATAGCTCTTCAAGGGGAGTGAAATCTATATGTGTTGGAAGCCAAGGTTCTGTGCCTCTCTTCCAAAGATTAAGAGAAGGATACAAAAATAATTGAAGGAGAATAACAGATTAAGATCACCAAGGTAAGGCGCTGCCACAACCTCTAATTATTAGTTTATTTGAGAATTCTAGACTTGTTTATTGCAACTCGTGGGATGGTGATTGAAAACCATAAATTCAAGTCTTTTGGTTATTTTGGGGTGTTGAGGACTGTTATCGTATTGATTTATTTGTGGGATGTCATGGATGTACCTAGATAATTATTGCGAAAAACTGTTAGGGGGCAGATTTATAAGCTGTGGTGATGCACCATTAAACTAAAGTCTTTGTAAGCTCAATTCCCTTCCCATCTCAAGTATTGTTATATATTTATATATATGTATATATATTATGAAGACTGTGCAGTGCCGACAAACCTAATGGGAAGGTTTTTTTTCATGTAAATAACTATAACGGACAGAATGTGTGAAAGGACACACTCAATTAGAAGGATTTTGGGCTGGCTGCCTGGCTACTATTTTGATGAGTTAAAATATCCCGAGTTAGTTGGTAAGCTGCTAATATTAGCCTTATCTATTGTTTGTTGTAGATGACGATTATGACGTTAAAAGACAGGTTGAGACTGCGTAAGCTATATGAATTGGGAATTGAGGTATGTAAGGCTATTTGATCTCATATCTTTTGGCATGAAGTCCTATATTTTGTGTACCAACAAATTGAGATCTCTAAGTGATCCTCATGGTAAAAGATACAATGTGAGGGTGTACAATCCCTAATGTAGCTAATGGTCTTCCTTATACAGTCCAAGTTCTCAAAATATGTCAAACTACTTCTATACGTGTTCATTATCCAATATTGGTTTGTTTATTCTTCTAAGTACTAGTTGACAAAGGTACTTTAAACATTAAGTTTCATGAGTTATCCACCAAGTCAAATGAAGTTCATTGAGTAAATTAGATCCTACATTATACATGTTACAGGTTTTTTATATGTCAGATGCATATTATAGTAACACCTCGTATTCTACGTGTACTAGTTCTATTTATTACACTTAAAAAACTTCCTTGTGGTATAGTTGTGGACTCGGTTTCCTATGCAACTAGTGACAATATAATAGATTTAAAGTGAACTGTCCGTAGATTTAATGTGACCCGATTAAGTTGAAGTCGATGGAAGTATTTAAACTTGAGATCATAAGTTGGTATTTGAGTCTAAAGTTTAAAGTGACATAGTGTATATAAGTTTTAAGTTAAGTTAAAGGTATTACGGTCTAGAAATAGCATAAAATATTAAGGTGTTTGGTTGACTTCACTAAGCTAGTAGATGACAAGTAGGTGCATCACCTACTTTGACTTATTGACCAGCCCAAAGGACCAAGTAGATGCATCACCTACTAAGACTCTTTTGATCATGTTATTGGGCCAAGAACACTACACCTACTTGCATTAATCTGGCCCAAGTGGATTAGAAGAATAAGGGGAAAATAGACATCCAAGACCCAATCTTTCCAAGCCCACAAGAAATAATTTGAATGGAAAAGTAGTTGCATCACCTACTTAAATGTGTGGCCTAAATTAAAGACACATGTTTGGCTGCAAAAGAAGTACAAGAAAGGTGGCGAAAAGGCCCAATGTTCTTAAGTCCAAAAAGGCCCAAGTGAAAAGTCCAAGTAGGTGGGTCACCTACTTGAAAAATAATGGCCCAAAATGAGTGAGAAAGTCAACCAAAGCATGTCCCTTTAAAAGGGATTGATATCCACTTTTTCCAACCATTTTTACTTTGCCAAAAATCTGATTTCTAGAGCTTTCTCTCTTCTATCTCTTAGCTTCATACAGCAGCCATTAAATACCATTAGGGTTCTTGAATATTAGGGAGTTCAAGCTATTGGAAGGTATAATTTAAGACAAGTTAAGGAGAACAACCTTTACCTTGAAGAATCCAAGTTTTCCAGCAAGGTAAGCTACTGCAATTTTCTCCCTCTTGTGCTTGTTAGTAAGTTGGAAATTGTTACTTTTACATGGTGTAATACTGGGGAGGATGTTCTGGTGATTAGTGCATGTTGGGACAGCCATGGAGGGGAGTCCTTTTTAACTTCAATCATGAGCTTGTTTGAGCACCTTAAAAGTAATGTTAACTCCTCAAGTGCTGGTGATCAGAAACCATGATTCATATTTTTTTCTGTTACTTTATTATGTTTAAGGATTGTTTTACGTATGTTATGATAAGGAATGTGACTGGATGTGCGGGTAAGTTATGGAGATATTAAAGGACTTAAATATTGCAGAGAGGTATGGGAAGGACCTGTTACGAAGGTTGTACAATATATAGACGTGATTTAAGGGAAAGGGAAGGAAAGAAAACATTGACTAGATAAATTGCATGCTTACTGCGTGGTTATTATTTTGGTGAGATCAAGTAGCTCAAATTGATTGATTAGCTACTAATACTAGTCTTACAACTTATTTTATTGTCGATTAGTTATTTGAAGAAAAGGAGCTTAAGTCATACTTTTTGAATTGTATAGTATGTAAGGCTATTCGATTTCCTATTTCTTTGGCATGAATCCAACACTTGCATTACAAAAAGTAAACTTTCTAAGTGCCCTTTGGTACTGACAAATCCATAGGTGCATTTCCTACTCCCTAAAGCATTAAATTGAGTACTCTAATAGGAGTTTGTTACTAAATGTACGTGCTTACTCTACCAAGTATTAGCATGCAAGGTTTAAACTTGTTTCACCGTCAAAGTACCCTTGGCACGTATTTCCCTTATATAAATCAAAATGATCCTAGATTACACATTGTACATATGTTTGTATGTTGGATATACAATCTGCCCATATCATGCCAATTAGCTGCAATTATCTATATATATGTCATCTTGTCACATGTTCATATGTTCCCTTTATTGGTTATTACTCCAATTATGTTAGACTATAATGTTACCTCAAAAGATCCCTACTTGCTCTGTTGTACATTTTATATGTACTTAGTTGGAATATGTATCCGTCCTTAAGTTGATTCTGCCGACGTTCTCCCTTGGTTCCACTTTCATGTATACCTTGTATTTGATATTAGTTAGTGAGTATTTGGCTACCATATAGAGTTCAAATCTCTTGGCTGAATGTTAAATGTCTTCACTTGATATGTGCTTCAATTTGAGATGTCAAAATGCTTACTGAGTCATATAAGCTCATGTCACATTTGCTTCCCATGTCATTGTTATTATCGTAAGCCCACATTCATATGTCTTCTACTATTGGTCTATAGTTCCAAATCTCAACAATGATTATGACCACCAAAACAGCAATCTCAAAAGAGATAATGATCATCAAAAGAATAATCTCTAAAGAGTTATGATTATCCAAAAAACAATCTCGAAAGAGTTATGAACATCAAAGCAACAATCTCAAAGATAAAGAATTTAATTGAAGCTATCTTTATAATTATGGGTGGCTGCCCAGGGGAAAATGCCTAACATGGGTCGATCCTTATTGGTATAGAAGGGTGCCGCTCAGGGGCGAAATCCTAGCATGGGCCGATCCCAATTGGTATAAGAGGGTGGCAGCTCAGGGGGAAAAGCCTAGCATGGGCCGATCCCAATTTGTGGAATTATGAGGACAGCATCTCAGGGGTTAAAATGCCTAGCATGGGTCATCCTCTTCTGCCGCTGATCAGCTGGTCATTTGTATCATATGTCTTATAAATATTATAATGGAAAGAAGAGTAATGAAAAGAATGTAACATACGCGATTCCACAAGTATAAGCAAAGGTGGTCTCTAATCCTTATTTATTGCTATTTCGTTTCACTTGAGCTCTCATTTTACATATGGTTGTATTATGCCTTACATATTCAGTACATGTTTTCGTACTGACGTTCCCTTATTGGGGATGCTGCATTTCATGTTGCAGGTACAAGTACTCAACTAGTTGATCTCCCAAATAGAAGCACACGATACTCAACGGTTGTTGGTGAGCTCCTGGTTGATTCGGGGCTTTGCCGAGTCTTTACTATGCGTATTTCATAGTGGTACAATCATGGATTCCAGTAGAGGCTTTGTAGACTTTGTAAAGCTATCATCTGTATTCATAGTATCACTTGTCACATGTATCGGTTCAGCTAGTCAATATGTGTTGTATATGAAGCTTCTCATCAGTAAATCTATCTGCATAGTAGTTTACTTTCTAATAATCACAGGTCACTGGTAAATCATGTGTTCATATGGTACTTGTCCGTCTTACCTAGGGTTGGGGTGTGGAAATTATGTCCATTGTTCATTTTATGTCCCCTTACGTGGAATGTACAACACTTATTGAGTTATGTCACGAGCATCATTAGTTTGTATGTTTATGCACTCTTTCATTTTATATCGTATACTAATTGTTTATCTATCATATCATCTTATATACTCCTCGCCTCTACATTTGAGAAGTTACAGTCACTACTAAGTGCTAAGCAGTATGCCCCCATGTGAAATGTCCAAACGTGTTTTAAATGAAGCATCTTGTAAGAAGAATTACTTGCTCAATTGCTATACATCTTAATGAAGCGCTTACTACATGTAAGTTAGTTTCCACACCTTCGTGGATCACATGTATATGTTCTTTGTGCCCAAATGAAGTTCACGAGTCATATAAGTTCCTAAGTAGCACAATAAAGTTACATTTTCTTCCTATATTATTGTTTTTTGCCTCCATTAATTTATCCACAAGTCTACATCACTAGTATATGACCTAAATCTCAAAAGAATCATGAACATCAAAAGAACAATCTCAAAGATTAAAGAGACAAGGTAAAGTGAATCTATAAAATTATGGGTGGCAGCTTAGGGGTTAAAGCTTCTTGTTATGCCACGGTGGATTGCCGAACTAAGATGTTGCATTTCCATTTTTCCAAGAGAGGTCGTCCTTGAATGGAAAGGTAATATTGGGACACCAAGAGGTAAATTTATTTCTTATCTTAAGGCAAAGAAGATGATGTTCTAAGGATACATATGTCATCTAGTGAGAGTGAAAAATATAGATGCTGAGCCACCATCTCTTCAATCAATTCCAGTGGTAAATGAATTTTCCGATGTATTTCTTGAAGATCTTCCGGGTTTGCCTCCAGAACGAGAAGTAGAGTTTGGTATTGATTTGATTCCAGATACTCAACCTATATCCATCCCTCCATATAGAATGGCCCCGCCAGAATTACGGGAGTTGAAGGAGCAATTAAAAGACTTATTAGATAAAGGATTTATAAGGTCTAGTATGTCCCCATGGGGAGCACCAGTTTTATTTGTAGCAAGAAAGATGACTCATTAAGAATGTGTATCGACTACCGACAGTTGAATAAGGTAACAATTAAGAACAAATATCCCCTCCCTAGAATTGATGATTTGTTTGATCAGTTACAAGGTGCTAGGTATTTTTCAAAAATAGACCTGAGGTCAGGTTATCACCAAGTAAGAGTCAAAGACAAAGATATACCCAAGACAGTTTTCCGAACATGGTATGGTCATTTTGAGTTTTTAGTCATGTCATTCGGGCTAACGAATGCACCAGCAGTTTTTATGGAATTGATGAATAGGGTGTTCAAGCCATTTTTAGATGTGTTCGTGATAGTATTCATAGATGACATTTTTCTGTATTCAAGATCGGAAGAGGGCCATGCTAATCACCTGTGGCAGGTTTTACAAATTCTTCGTGATCGTAAGTTGTATGCAAAGTTCTCTAAATGTGAGTTCTGGGTAAAATCTGTGGTATTCTTAGGTCATATTGTATCCGATGAAGGAATAAGGGTTGATAACTAGAAGATAGAAGCCGTGAAAAACTGGCCAAAACCTACAACACCTACGGGAGATCCGTAGTTTCCTTGGATTGGCAGGTTATTACAGAAGGTTCGTTGAAGGATTCTCTTCCATGGCTGCACCCTTAACAAAGCTAACACACAAAGAAACCAAATTTCAGTGGAGTGATGAATGTGAAAGAAGCTTCCAAGAGCTGAGGAATAAATTAACTTCTACACCTGTATTGGTACTTCCAAAAGGAACAGAAGGGTATGCAGTGTATTGTGATGCTTCGGGAGTGGGCCTAGGATGTGTATTGATGCTACATGGTAAAGTAATAGCTTATGGTTCAAGGCAACTGCGGCCACATGAGAAAGATTATCCAACTCATGATCTAGAGCTAGCAGCAGTTGTGTTTGCTTTGAAGATATGGCGCCACTACTTGTATGGAATTCATGTTGACCTATACACTGATCACAAGAGTTTACAATATATCTTTAAGAAAAAAGACCTAAATCTGAGGCAGTGAAGATGGCTGGAGCTATTAAAAGATTATGACATGGATATCTTGTATCATCCCGGGAAAGCAAATGTAGTAGCTGATGCGTTAAGTCATAAAATAATGGCAAAGCCATGACGGCAGTCTGTGGAAAGACAAGGAATAACTAAGGATCTATGTCAACTAGCTAGCTTGGGGGATCGCCTTCTTGAATCTCCAGACGAAG